ACCGGGTTGTCCGAGTTGTTGGCGCAGAGCGATGTGGTCAGCCTCCACTGTCCTCTTACGGAGAGCACGCGACATATCATCAATGATGAGACCCTGGCGCAGATGAAGAAGGGCGCGTTGCTGGTTAACACCTCCCGTGGAGGGCTGATCAACACCAAGGCTGCGATCCGGGCACTCAAGGCGGGCCACCTGGGTGGTCTGGCGTTGGATGTGTACGAGGGGGAGGGCTCGTTGTTTTACAATGATCATTCGGCTGAGATTATCCATGACGACACGCTGATGCGACTGATGACGTTTCCCAATGTTCTTGTCTGTGGGCATCAGGCGTTTTTTACGCAGGAGGCCTTGAGTGAAATCGCGGGAGTCACGCTGGGCAATCTGCAGGATTTTGTACTGAAACGGACATGCAAGAACTCGTTGGTGCGCGAAGGCCACCTGCTGGTTAGGAGGGATACAGAGCCTGTTCGTTTATGAGCTGGGAGGGGGTCGTATCAAGCACTTGGGTATTGGCATTTCGCGTCTATGGAAAGAACCTATTCATAATCAAGCACTATGGCTTTGTTTCTCATTAGGTACATTTCATTTACGCAAACTGGCCAGGCCGCGGATATGTGCCAGACCTCTTGGAATGATACGGCTCCCGTGAACGATCAACGGGACGACCGAGATCATCCACATAAAGCACACAAACCCGAAAGCAGCAATAAGTCGGATTCTCTGAACCAGCGCCAGAATGGTTCTGTCTCTGGCTTTTTCGTAAGCAGCACACCATCTACCCTGGCCTTCCAGTTGAAGTCGTTTTGCCTGCTCTCTTGCTTCAACCGCATCTGCCATCTGCCAGGCGACCCTGCGGTTGATCTTCTCCCACGTCGTATCTTCCGCATATGCCCGGGCAGCCACAGCCAGGGAGGACAGAAGCCGAGAGTCGCGCGATACCTGCCACACGAGAGCAACAAACGTCTCAATGTCGTTTGGAGGCACCAAGTATCCAGTCTCTTGATGGCGTATAATATCGGACGGACCACCCTGGTCTCGTGCGATAACAGGCAGCCCGCTGGCCATTGCCTCGAGCACCACCAACCCGAAAGTCTCGGTAATCGAGCAGTGGAGGAAGAGGTCTCCCGAAGCATATGCACGAGCCAGTGGTTCTCCGGTCAAGAAACCTGTGAAAACTACATGTTCTCTGACATGATCAAAGAGACGGTGGATTTTCGTTTCGACCTCCGGATTGCGGTTTCCTCCGACAATCAAAAGCTTGAACGGTAGCTTCTCTTCCGCGAGTTTGGCTGCTGCCACGGCCAGAAACTCGAATCCTTTCTCTGGGGCTAGTCGGCACACGCAGACAAGGATGATTTCTCCGTTAGGCGCAATCTCCTTCCGATACACCTCGTCGCGACGAGATGGATTGAACAAGGTGGTATCGACGCCTCGTCCCAGTTTGACAGCTCGTGTGACGGGCGCGCCGGCCTTCTTCAGATAGCCTAAGATGCATGATGATGGGTAGAAGATGGTATGCACAGCGGGGTTGCTGAAAAGGAAGCCTTGCACCACTGCCAGCAACCAAACAGACCACCGACTCAAGGGAGATGGGAGGATGATCTCACTGTATGCTGACAGGTCGGTTTGGAAGTTCAGCAGCAAAACAGGTGGCTTTCTCAGCTGCCGCAAGTACAGTAGTAACTGGAAACCCAAGGACGCTGGACTCGCCACATAGACAATATCCGGCTGGACGGGCTCCTTGTAGACATCTTTCAGGCGGAACGGGTACACCAGCGTCAGATCTGGGTTGTACGGGAGAGGATAACCTGGCAGTCGCAAATTCGCCTCTGGTTGCTCGGTCTGTTCGGCACCTGCGAATTGAGGCGCCACCACGATCAGGTCGACCTCGTTGCGACGAAGATAGTCGATCAGACTGCCTGTTGTTCGGCTGACTCCGTTGACAGGACCAAGCGACTCGGTGGCCAACAGCACCTTCTTCCCTATTAGAGATTGAGGAAAGCTCTCTCTATCCATTTATATCTTAATGAAGTATATTGCGCACCGAAGGACGTGTAAAATTCTGTAGAGCAGTAACCCAGTCAGTAACCCAGAATCCAGATCTACATGGCAGTACCTGCCCGCATAAAAGCCATGATGCGAGCCTGAAGTCACCGAAACCAGTATTTCCATCCAAAGTCAAATGGCACAATCATTGGCGATCACAGCAGATAAGAAAGTGCTTGTGCCGGGTTGCAGTGTTGAAGCCAGAGCACAATGCTTCGTGTAGGAGGCCGCGGTGGCTGCACGTGGGTCAACTCTTTGTCGCCCTCTGCTGCGAGACTCTCCCTTCTCCCAACCAGTGGCAGTCCGCGAATCCCCCCGCGTGCACCCAGCAGTCAAGCTCTTTGGGGATCCATGATCGACTCGACTGTCCATTACATACTCATGAACCTTTGGTTATTATTGCTTTGCACGATCAACTGAAGCACTAGAAGGATGGCGGCAACAATCACAAGGCAAACAGAAATGTTTGGCCCCTCGATGGAGGGGGGGTTCGATAAGGGTAAAGCCGGGAGGTAAAAGTCTATAAACGCTCTGCGCCCATTTCTGCAGTGAATTTATGGACTTTTACAATGGTCGAACAGGGAGCTATGATTGAAATGGTTGCAGAAACTCAAGCAGTCGCAATGGATCTCCCGTCGTCTCCTGCAGGAACCTCAGATGCGAGCTCATATGATGGGTCAACGCGCCCTACAACCCCTTCTTCAAGTCCACTGTTTTGTGCTTCTAGAATGGAGGATCTGGCTCTGTCGCATTTCATGCACTCTCCTGGCTCTGCTTCACTCCAAAGCTTTCCGGCCTGGGGTCAGGTGAAGAACATCTGCGTTGTGGGCGCTGGATACGTCGGTATGCTTGTGCTATTGTGTCTCACTTAGTGGTGCAAAGTCTTATTATTACAGGTGGGCCAACCGCAGCCGTTATGGCGCTGTACAACCCGTCGATATCAGTCGAAGTCTTGGACCGAGACCCTGTTCGCATTCGGAAGTGGAAGTCACCACACCTTCCTGTACATGAACCTGGCTTGATCGACGTCGTCCGAGTGACGAGAGATGGAGCGGAGATTGTCAACCATGAGACTACGTCGCAGGTCAATGCGACGCGCTTGAAACGGCGCGCAAACCTTTTCTTCACAAGTGACTCGGTGACAAGTATCTCCAGAGCGGATATGATCATGCTTGCCGTCAACACACCCACCAAGACGTTTGGTCTGGGCGCTGGTCGAGCGACGAATATGTCAGCTATTGATGAAGCTGTGCGGCAGATAGCCATCTATGCAAGACCAGGCACAATCATCGTCGAGAAGAGCACAGTTCCTTGTGGCACTGCCCAGCGGATTCGAAACATGGTACGTACTATTGACCCATGTGCCTGGTCTCCATTGACCCCAATTTGACGATGTATAGTTGGCCACCCTCAGACCAGGCGTGCCGTTCGAGGTGCTGTCGAACCCCGAATTCCTGTCCGAGGGCTCGGCTATCGAGAACCTCATCACACCCGATCGTGTGCTCATCGGATCATCTGGAACACCATCTGGACACCACGCAGCGCGCACTCTTGCACAGATTTACTCATCTTGGGTTCTCTCCTCGCGCATCCTCGAAGTCAATGCATGGTCGTCGGAACTCGCAAAGCTTGTAGCCAACGCCATGCTCGCCCAGAGAATCAGCAGCATCAACTCTATCAGTGCTATTTGCGAGAAGACAGGAGCTGAGGTCGATCACGTAGCTCAAGCTATCGGTCTGGATGCCCGAATCGGAGCTCAATTCCTCAAAGCCGGACTCGGGTTCGGCGGCTCCTGTTTCCGCAAGGATATCGCCAGCCTAACATATCTCGCCGAGTCATTGGGCTTGGAAGATGTGGCTCACTATTGGAGCCAAGTCAACGTGATGAATGAGATGCAGCGCAACCGGTTCGCCAGAAAAGTCATCGAGAGATTCGATGGTAACCTGACCGGACGAAAGATCGCCATGCTTGGGTTCGCCTTCAAGAAGAACACCGGCGACACACGAGAGTCCTTAGCGGCCGACGTGATCCGGTTGCTGCTGGAAGAAAAGCCCATGGAGATTGCCATCTTTGATCCCTTCTGCATTGAAAAGGACATCATGCGGGAGGTTGAATGCGTCTGCGGCGCCTTGGATGGGAGGGTCAAAGTCTTTCCCGATCCGTACCAAGCTTGTTCTCAAGCCGACGCAGTCCTCATCATTTCCGATTGTGATCAATTTCGGAATATGCCAACCAAATCGAAGCCGAACACTTTTGCACCAAAGACAGAAGTTAAGGCTGTTAACACTCTTCCCAAAGCCATAATATCCAAAGATCCAGAGGAGGACATCTGGTCATGCAACGGCCTGTCATACCGCTTGTCCCCGCAAGAAGCGTGCGATGATTGTGAAGCATGCCGTTCAACAGCCAGCCATCCCACTGCCACCGAGCCTGTAGAATGGGCACGCATAGCATACAACATGAAGGCACCGAAACTGGTCATTGATGGACGCGGAATTCTGGATGTTCATGAGCTGGAGAAACTCGGTGTCCATGTGGACGCTGTTGGAAGACGACCGGCTGTAATCTCAGCAGGCATTGACCCTTTGAACTGTGACATCTAGAATGAATTTCTTTCAGGAAGGCTTGTTGCAAATTGATACCCCTCATTATTTTGCTTTCTTTTGTGTTCGTCCCTCTTTTGCATGCAGCAGCTTCAACACTTATCTTGAGATCATGACGTTTAGAGTGGTTTAATTATACTTTGGTGCTTCAGTGTCTGCTATAGAGACCAGTAGCAATGATGACTTGGCAATTTTCTGTACTAATCCATTACTATGGATGACATTTTGTTCTTACAGCGGCAAACGCCTATATCCATTAAGTCGAGCTTTGACAAACATAAAGTCATGATATACAGCACAACACAAAACAAAACAAAGACATTCAACCCGAATCCCCCGAACCCGGTATCTTAATCACGCATAAGCAGAGAACGACCCTTCTATCTCTTCCACCTTGGCAACAGCCCGCTTGTATCCATCCATCGCCTGCAATTTGTCCGTGTACTCCGCCAACCTCGGATACCGACCCCGGAGATCAGGCATTTTAATCAAGGACGCAATAACAGGGAAGCTCATCATGATATCCGCAGCCGTCAGCTCCTTGCCACAGAGGTAAGGGCCGCCTCCTGGCGCAGTCTTCAGCTGATCCTCAAGGAACTCAAAGTGCGAGGTCAAGTTCGGCGTGACGAACGCCTGCTCAACCTTTGACGCGACCATGCCCGTCAACGGCTTGATGAAGAACGGAACGGGGGCGTTCCTAATGCCTGCGCTGTGTCAACATCATTTTCTCGAACCAGAAAAACGATATCTGACGGGAAAGGAAGGAAACTCACTATACATCACCAACTGCATCACCAGAAACGGCATGAAGCTGCCCTCCGTGTAATGCATGTAGTATCTATACCGCATCCACTCCTCGGTCTCGCCGCCTACCTGGTCCTCCTTGCCTGCGGCAGAGCGCTGCGGGACGAGTTTGAGCTTGTCACCCCCGAAATGATCGCAGAGATACTCCATGATCAGCCCGGACTCGGCGAGAACCAGCGGCTTGGGGGCGCCGGGGGTCTCGATGCTGATAACTGGGGATTTGCCTAGCGGGTGGATGTCCTTGAGCTCCTTTGGGGCTAGCATGTCGGCGCCGCGCTTGAAGGTCTTGAGCTCGTAGGTGAGGTGGAGTTCCTCGAGAAGCCAGAGGATGCGCTGGGCGCGGGAATGTTCCAGCCTGTGCGTCAGTGTTAGTTTTCTGTGTCGATGGTGGTCGCGGGGGAAGTGTACCAGTAGAGGGTGATTTTGGCGCCTTTGTTTGCGTCTGCCATTTTGCTGTTGAGTACTTGATCTAGGTGTATATTAACTTATGAAGGAGATTGAGTAATGCTGGTCTACGGAGCTGATCCTGTTGAAACAATAAGACGAGAACACCGTCGAAAGCTTAGTCGGCAACGGGAGATACAAGGCTTTATCATTGATCTACATTTCTCTCATGGTTCACGGCACTACTTCTAGACCTGTTTTTGAATAATCGCAGGTTGGAGCTCAACCTCGGATGAATCCCTCGGCCAAGCAGCATCTACCCCCGTGAAAATCTTAGAAGCTGGCGTCATCGATGTACGGGGTATATGTGGGTCAATTCAGACCAATTCGTTTGTACAGATAGCAGTTTTCAGTCATATAGCTAGTATGAGCCTTAAATCAGTGAGTCAGTAGCTGGCTGCTCCCACAACGATGATAATGTAGCACCAATTTCCACCAGCATTAAGAGGTACAGGCACTGGGCGAACTAGATGCCCGCGAACCTCAGGCCTCAATTCAGTAATCCGCTGACTCATCTGCCAAGATCAGGTGACTGCCCACTTGAACTTCATGGATATCATCACCATCACCATCAGACGAGTATCTCGGCCTCTCCTGAAATTGCTGACGTCGCAACCATGGCCGGCCCTAGCAAGTGTAAGTGGTTTTCCCCAGAAGTGACAAACTATCTTGATACTGATCAATTGCTCCGCAGCCCTGGTCCTTGACCCGGCCCTCCAGAAATACTACGGTACATCTCTCCGTCCTACTCCTACCCTGCAGCCCATCAACAAGTCAGCGCGAATCGCCGTTTGATTCTTTGCCGGTCATGCGCGAGAAGATATATGCCGACGACTAATGCTGTGCAGAACTCACCGCAAACCGCTACAAGTACTTCCGCTGGACCCCGCGCCATGCCTGGTTGTCGTTTATCTACATGGTTGCGATCCCCGGGACATTGGGCTACATTGCCTACAAGACAGATGTATGTCCTTGCGAATATTCAGATTTTGGAAAAATGAAGAGAATGCTGGTAACTGACCCGGGATAGGGCAAATACGAATTCCGCGGGAAGAGGAGAGGCGATACCATTCTCGAATACTAGGTTGTCCGTTGATTTGTGTTGAGGTGACCTCTGCAGGATTGCATTTTGTGTCGCAGAGAGTATGGAAAGGGCGGGTACGAGATCGAGTTGTGCGCCGACCCGCTTGCTTTGTACCTATTAGTAGAATATACCGCATCGATTTCGCTTTGTTCAACTCTGCTCTCTTGAATGCGTATCCCCCCCGTTTCTCTGGACTGATTGAGTACAGTTGCAGTTTTTACGCAGACGTGAAGCTGCGTCTCATGATTGAATTGCGTGGATACGCAAACTGTCGATTGCTTGGTATCAAGCAACACTCCCGGAACTGTAAACTGAGCTGATTTTCCTACCGTAAACTCCATATAAGCTATAAAGATACAAATCAGAGCACTCCTAGTACGGCGCCCACCCCCTTCTCCCAGGTCCCCCACCATAGTTGCGCCCTCCTCCATCCGGTAGCCTCTCACCACGCCTCCAATCACCAGATGGTATCCCCCGATCACCTCTCCCCCGACCAGGCCGTCCAAACCCGGGATCACGGAACGCCCTCATACCCCCTCCAACGGGCCCGCTCACCGGCCCCCGCCCCGTAATAAGCGGCGGAGCAACAGAGCCGTCCTCAAGCGGCGGCAGGATCGCGCAATCCACGTAGTCGCCAATCACGAAACGAAAGTCCTGCAGCGTCTTGTCCGCATCGTTACCCTGCAGCCGCAGCGCACGTGGCCCCGTCGCAGCACTGCCCCCATTCTCCTCGTCATTCTCGCCCCGGTAGGGACTGTCCTTCGGCCCAACGACCACACTCCCCATGTCCTTGCTCAAGTATCGCCCTCGCGCGTCGCCGCCCATTGTCGCGGCGCCCCTGGTGTCCGGGTAGATCAGGCGGAAACATATGCGTGTCCCGACAGCGGGATCAGGAAGAAGGGATGGTAAGGCCGAGGTGAGGAGCTGGGTTAATTCTCGTAGTGTGCAGGACTGCCAGGTGTAGATCTCCAGGTGCGGGGGGAGTCGCGCGGGGGGAGGGGAGCGAGCTCGAATCGCATTCGGACCGCTGGTCGGTCCATTGTAGGAAGATGGCGACGAGGGAATGGCAAAGTCGGATAGTGGGTGGAAGGAGTTCACGCGGTAGAAGAGCTTCAGGTGGAAAGGTGTGGTCTTTTGACGGTCGATCTGTGGCTTGAGCGCATCGCGAGGTGCGGCCATGATGGCGAATCGTCACGCAATTTGTGAAGCAATATACGAGCCTTTCAATTGCTGTAGAGCGAGCAGTTTGATTCAAATCGTGCGGCTGCGAGCTGGCGATGTTGGTGGTTGAGGTGTTGCCTTGTCACAAGAGCGAGAGCTATGCGGCGAAGGAAAGAAGCTCGCCCACCGAGTCTGGCCGCTTGCACCGCCGCTGCTTCAGGATCATTTTTACATCTCCCCACAACTCTCATTATACGCACATCTTTTGATTACTTGTGACAGCCTAATTAGCGACTGGCATAGCGTGTTCAAAACCCAGTCATGGATTTCGCATCTTTGATGGCCAAGGAAATCTCCAAGGCCAAAACTTCCGCCACGCCCAGCTCAACATCATCAGGATCAGAGCAAAAGGAGCCCACCCAAACCGCAGATAAGAAATATGTCCGACGAGCCGAACTCGAAGCTGCCAGAATCGCTGCCTACAATGCAGAACAGGAGCGCCTACAACGCGAACGCGAGGAGCGCCAGGCTCAGAAACGCAAACTCGAAGAGGAAGAAGCAGAGCGGCGACGCGAACGCGAAGAGAAAAGACGGCGATTAGCCGAGGAATCCCGGAAGAAGCGAGAGGAGGAGGAGGCAGCGAAGGAGCGAGAACGCAGGAAGAGACTGGGTCTACCTGAACTGCCACCCGCCGGCGAGAAGGATGAGTCTGCTCTCGGAGAGGAGGAGGTGGATATACCGGACGAGGAGCTGAACCAGAAACTTCGCGACCTCAAGGAGCCTATCTGTCTATTTGGAGAGAATCATGTTGCCCGTCTGCGGCGTTACCGCCGCCTTGTCCGTCGGTCGATGACACCTCAGCCGAAGGTGACGGACGGGCCTATCCCTACTACCTTGGAACCTGTATCGGAGGTGGACATGAAGATTCCAACCACCCTTCCTAAGGACGCAGATGGTCGCAAGTTCCTGTTCCGGCAGTTGGCCTCGTACTTCAACATGGTGCTGCTGGAGTGGGAGCGTGCTCTCGCAAGACGGGATGTATCGGTCAAGCAGAGTCTGACCGGTCGTCAGGCCTACAATGCGATGGTTCAGTCGAGGGAAAATTTGAAGCCACTCTTCCGGAAATTTGAGAAGAACGACATCGACGATAACCTGTTGGAGCCTATTATGGAGATCGTGCACAAGGCTCAATTGCGGAGATATGTTGATGCCAATGACGCATATTTACGCGTCAGTATCGGAAAAGCGTAAGTGAAGTTCTACATCTGCATGGTACTCTATTCTAACAACCCTGTACAGAGCTTGGCCTATTGGTGTGACTATGGTTGGTATCCACGAGCGATCAGCTCGAGAAAAGCTGCACCAGAGTGATCAACAGGCACACATCCTCAGTGATGAGATTACCAGAAAGTTCTTGCAAAGTATCAAGCGCTGCTTGAGCTTTGCGCAGACACGCTGGCCTCCGGATGATCAACTGCAGATTATGGGTTAGTGATGGATGTAGTTGAGGGTGAAGACTTCGCCAACCTAGTGATGATAATGATAATATATACCCTGTAACCTAGCCTGTTCCTGAATTAGTGGTGTGTGCTCTGCAATATGTTCATTCAATATGTTCAATGATTATTTGAGAATACAAACGACTATTATAAAACGAGCTCTAATAGAGTTCTCGAATATCTAATGCTTAAGTATATATGTGCGCGATTTTATGACCTCCAAAACCTCATCATCCGGCTCCATAGGCCATCTAGACTCGAGGGAGGGCGGGTTGTGGCCTCAGAATCGATCTTCTCCAGTTGCTGGTAATAATCGCCGTTATGATAGATTTCGTGACCCTCCATGCCGTTCATCACACGCAAGGATGAGCTTTGTGGTCTGGAAGAGGTTGGCGTTTTGCACTCGGATTTATCATCCCCGGTATGTGCTCTTATAAGTCGACCTGCCGTCTGCACGCAACTGCCGTAGGCAAACCGGATCAGGGAATCGCCGGTGAGACTCCCAATGATAAAGACGTCTTCAGCGACTTCGAGATCCTCCACGGCCTTTGCTCTCAATGTCTTGCCCGATATGATGGGGCTGGGTTCTGCTCCATCGGGACACCCGAGAACGTCCGAAAGAAGGGGCCTATCCAGGTAGCCAAGGCTTCCACGACGACCTGTAGCGTATACTAGCCCACGGACGGTTCGTTCTATTGTGCTTCCGTCGGGTAGCTGAAAAGTTACCACTGCAGATTCCGATTGCGTATTCACTGCAATCACTTCTGCGTTTGGAAGGCCCTCGTAAACCGTATCCCAGGCCCGACTTTCGAGGAACGGAGAGGATGTCGTCCGCCTTGGTCTGCCAGGACGTTTGCCTCTAGCTGGCTCGGCGGCAAGAGCAGCTCGTTTCATCAATCGATACACCCCCGCATATTCCGGATATGCGCGCTGATGACAGCTGCGGAGTGGAGAGGGATGTCCTTCCGGATCCCACTTAAATATATGAAGGATTTTCTGGTCCGCTGGAGCAGATATTATGATATCTGCGGCTGAGAAGCCGGATCCTATAACAAGGAGCGGTATCTCCGGAGTCGGCTGAAGAAATCGTAGTGGTTGTAGCATCGGAAGGGGCTGCAGCACTTCCGAGAATATTCCACTCGCCAAGACCAGATGCTTGCAATGAATATTGTGAGAGGAAATGAAGAAACCATTTGCAGTTCTTGTGATACCGCTCAGACTCTGGTTATTTTGGAAAGAGTCATCAATTCCAACCGCCTCAGGATAGGCGCTGAAATAGTCCATAATCTCCCTCCTGGTGGGCCGCGTGAATGCGGGAAGATCCTTGCCATTGATCTTGCGGTAGTGCTCAGCGAAGGAATATCCTGGCAAGGACAGCATTGACGCGTAGCTCAAAGTTTGAATATCCCAGCTAGCGAATACCAGGTTGTCATTCCATTGACCACCGGCCTTCGGCGCATTGCCGAATACCAAGTGTGGGACGGCCTTTTCAGGCACGTATCGCCATTCAACTCTGGTTTCACCATCTCCCACATCCACATCGATGCTCGGCCGGACGAGTGTGTCCAGCAGAACATTAACTGGGAGAGCCTGCGTCGAGTACGACAATCGAGAGGCATGGAAATGTTCGGTCAAAGCCGCTACATCCGCATCCAGTAAGTCCGGGTTGTCCTTAAGCTTCGCATGGAGTAGAGGGTCGGGATGCGGACGATTTATGGAGTAGTACGGGAGATAACCATGCAGAATAAATGAAAGTATCATAGCCGATGGCCCGTTCCCTATCAATCGCAGTCTCAAAGTCAATCAAGAGGCCACAGTGATTGGCGAGAAACGATTTCATTCCCCTGAAGAATGGCGACATACCGATGATTATGGTGTCAGTTTCCATTGCAGGCATCTTGTGTGCCCCAGGCCGCGGCTTCAGCGCGGGGCATTCTGCACCAGACATGCGATGGTAGACAGCTTGATAACGGTCACAATTATTGTGGTCCCGATGAACCAACGAATCTGTCTACTACCTTCAGATGAAGGTTGATCAACCGGAAGGCCATGGAGAAGTAAACAAGATCATAGTCTGATTAGTAGTGATTACATGAAGGGAGTTTATGGGTTTGACCATAAACGGGGTTCGCTGACAAAACAAAAAATGCGTCTAGTGAGAACGGTTCTGAACCGGTGGACGGAGTAATCAAGATCACCGAGTGGCGTCCGGCTACGAATGAAATCAGAATGCCTTGTTGAAGCCTGCCAGATCGTGCCATCTGCCTTGTTCGGGGCCAGGCAGGCTTTCCAAAGCAACTCCTCCGTAGTCCGATCCGGACCGTTTGGATGTGCACAATGCACGATGAACCGAAGATATAGGCTAAACAGTACAGTGACATGCAGCTCCTCGGCGCTGACTGAAACAGCGTGAAGTCATCATGACATTCGCTGGCCGAATTCGGGACCCGGTTGCGGGGTTGTGTTTCTCAATGCGGTATGTAGGGCTTAGGGTGGCTAGATATAAGGCCCTATGCCCTAATTACCTGATTTGGACACAGCGGACGCATGATCCGTTCCTAGGCCTCTTAGATCCTGGGGATCGTCGTTCCGGAGTTGGAGGGACGAACGATGGAAGATCCGAAGACATTTCAGGAAGTCGGGATCGAAAGTCTCTGTGCTGCCATGATTGTCTCACCAAGGGCTTGGCTACCTTTTTCTTGATTGGAAATTAGAGGCTTGCGTTCCCCAGAGCTGGACTGGCCTCAATAGGTCGTCCGACCGCAACGATGTATCATCTGGCCAAGTCTCTATACCTCTACGCAACCAGCAAAGAGGGTAAGGATCATACACCTCTGTCTCAATGCATGTGTGTCGCTGACAGACCGCCTCAGAATACTCCGTCCTGCTACTGGGATTAGACAACGCGGGGAAAACTACCCTCCTATCGCAAATCAAGGCCCTGTATCTGCCCCGTCCCGATGGCGCCACTGCTCCCAACCCAGGCAAAACTGTGCCTACCGTTGGCCAGAATGTCGCCACGATCCCATTACCGGACATGTACCTGAAGATCTGGGATGTAGGTGGTCAAATCTCGATGCGAAATCTGTGGCAGAGCTACTACTCGAGTTGCCACGCCATCATCTTCGTCGTTGATAGTACGGACGTAGGACAAAATCCGGACATCACCCGTCTCCCCTCGAATCGGAAACCTGGCTCGTTGTCTGGCCCATCCGCGTCTGGAAGCGACGCCGTTACCGAAGAGATGGCAGGGATCAATGCGCCGGGAAGCGAGTTTGGACGGCTGGATGAATGTCGCCAGGTACTGGAATCTGTGTTACAACACTCCGATGTGGCTGGAGTCCCGATTCTAGTGCTGGCCAACAAGCAAGATCGGGAAGATTGCGTCGAAGTTGTCCGCATCAAGGAGGGTCTTGTGCGCAAGGTCTTTGAGGGCGAATCCGGAGGCGGAGTGCGCGATAGCCGCGTGTTGCCTGTCAGTGCCTTGATGGGTTCAGGAGTCCGGGAAGCAGTCGAATGGATCCAAAGTCGAGTCAAGTGGAATAAGGAAGGACGACCTCCCATCATGAAATGAGGCTCGTGATAGCATCCTGTGTGATTGCCGGCCGCTGCTGGATGCCAGTTGGATGCCAACTTGGTCAGGACCAGCTCCTTTATCTCTTGGCAGCGGAATGTTGATACCCTTCTTGTTGGTGATTGATTTTTCGATTTGGCGCTGGAGGAGTTTGTTTATACAAGATACAAGATACCTAGATAGTTCTGTGCATACATTACTTGCATCAACCATCCGATTCCAGGACGGAATGCCTCACTTTAACTGAATCTTGTGCTGTCACAAAGTAGATAAGACAAAATGAAGCTATTGCGAACTTCGTGGACTCTCTTGCCCGGCTTCACGGACTCGCTTGTCCGGTTTTCTGAATAACCACGGAACTAAGAAAATCAGATCTCAATAGCGGAGAATCTATGATGTATAATCGTATATCAAAAGTACAATCAACCGGTTATATGCGCATTCGCGCGAGAGTATCGAGGCTGGTACTTCTCCACAACATGATTCCATTTTTGACGTCACAACACTGGCGGATGTAATCTGAAGCCAGATTCTCCAGGCTCCTTTGGATCGCCAAATGGTTACCTCTCCATCAGGCGAGAACTTCGAGGGGTGGGAGAGGAGCGTATGATATGACTATGAAGTCACTCCATCAGCTTGACGTCATGTTCTGGTTGTGTCCTTTGGGCCCCTGCACAAGTAGATAGAGAGATGATGTTACTCTACAACGAGCCTTATAAAGTCTTACCAGCAGTTGTTCGAATATTGGCAACATATTCATCTATCAGTCTCTAAAAAGAACCAAAGCACACGACCTTTCTACAAACTAATCTTCATCAACTTCAACATGAGCCACACCGCCAACCCCGACTCCTTCGACAATGGTAAGAACCAGGACTTCATCCATCCCAGTGTCCAGCGTTCTGCTCCCATGAGAAAAGACGGCGTAAGTGCCCCCTTGACTTCCAAACGAGCTATACTAACCCACGAACAGCACCAATTAGGCACAAAAGTCAGCCCTGCAGACTTCAAGCCCGAGTTCCGTGCCGAGACTCATCCTCCTGGCACTGCTCCCGCCAGCAATTCATACACCCCAAACACCACCGGAGAGTCCGGCGGCCAGGCCTTGAACCCCTTGGTCGAGCGCAGCCATGGAAAGGAGGCCGTCAAGACCACTGCCGAGTCGACGTTGAGGGGAGCCACCTCCAAGGACGTCCACAAGGGTCTGGGCCACCCCGGCTCTGGCCAGACCAAGACCGAAATCAGGCACGATGGCCAGCACCACCGGAAGCACGAGGGTGCCGGCCTCGAGGGTGTTGGCAGCTACCGTGAAGACAAGTTTGAGCGCACACTGGCTGACCAGCGCGGTATTGAGCGCGAAGAGGCCAGGCCCAACGAGCACGGCGACAAGGGCGTTGCGGCTGCCGAAGATATCCCTCCCCAGTCGGCAGAGACGGCGGCTCACGAATGGAAGTATGAGCCTGGCACCAAGAGGGATAACGCTGCCAGGCACTAGGCGAGTTCAAAAGCGGGATGAGGTTTTTTTTATTTTTTTAATGTTCTATTTTCATGTCTTGTATAAATCATCCAATTAGCGTGGGTATCACGGTAGGCATTTGCTATGCACATAAATGAAACGGTCCTCGAATGGAATAAAAAAAAAAAAAACAATTGAATATCAGAATGAAAGTTATCCAGTCCCAAGTAGACATTCGTTCTCTCATGGGGCAAGACGCTCCTGGCTAGTTCGAGCGTTGTTGTTGAGATGGTGACTCTTCTCGCAATTTGGACCGAGCTTTTTGGGCCAACTGCGGGCTATGTCGATGTTCGATCGCGGAAACCACATCTCGAGAAACACGTAAAGTAGGAAATCTATTACTGCACAAAGGCAAAACAGTTTGCCGGCCCAGACACCACACCCGTAGTATCGTTTAAGCCGATCGATCAAAGCAAAACTCCGCACCCTGTCAGCGTTGGCTTCCCAGCCTTGACCGGGATAATATCCATAAAATTCCTCCGGGCTGATATCACCAGTGATGCCTTTGTAGACACGCTCTGTCCGTTGAGCCACATCCGTCCAGGAATACATCATCTTGACCTGATCGTGGAATCGATCTGTTCGCACTTTGTTCGAGCGTAAAGCGGCAATTGCCTTTTCAGTCGCCAGGACTAAATCATCCTCTTCAGGCTTCGCAAAAGTCGTCATGTGCTGAGGTAACACTTCTGGGATGCCACCAACGCGAGTACAGACCACATAAAGACCACAGCTAGCAGCTTCGACGATGACTGTACCAAATGCCTCCGTCAGACTCGGATGCAGATAGATGTGGCCTCGGACCATCACATCCCGGACTTCTTCATGACGAATCGACCCAAGCAATTCAACTTTGTCCTGTAGCACGTTTCTTTCCAGCATCTGCTCCAAATCGATGGCCTGAGGCCCCGAGCCCGCGACGATAAACCGTACATTTGGATGGGATGCCAGAATCCTTGGTATAACCGCAATCAGGAGATCAGTTCCTTTGTTGTAGAAGAGACGCGAGATGACAACAATTGTGATAGTATCGTCCGGGCCGATCGGTGCAGGCGGTGGTCGCGGCTCGATTTCGCCTGACGTTCGATCGCCTTTTCGAGCGTCGTGAGAGAGAGGGCGGAAGTTTTCTGCGACCACGGCGTTGGGAATGACCGAGACCATCAATGGGTCTAATGATGCTCGGAGCACCGTATTCTCCTTGCTGTCCCCAGGTAAGAATTAGAACATAAACCTAGGCTTCAATGGACGTACCATGTATGACTGACGCAAATGACATGGTCAACGTCACTCAATGTGAATTTGAGCATCTTGTTCGCCAAAATCGAGCCGGCATCCGCAAACCCAAATAGAGAGTGGTCGGTAAAGACCGTGCGTAGACCCATAGTTCGGGCATGTAGAATTGCCTCGTGGCATAAGCTGCTCATACTACCGTGGCCATGCACGATTTGTACTTGTTCACGGATCACGATATTCCGGAAAAGAGGGAAGAAGGAGAAAACTGTCGGCATCGTCGACTCGCGATAAATGACGAAGAAGGGGATGTGGTAGACTTTGAGGCCATTGGTAAGATATCGAACTCCGGTCCGCCCTTTATATGCATGAGTGATGATGATGACTTTATGACCGCGGTCGATCAGTTTCTGGAATACTAATGAGAAGGTATATCATATGAAAGGAAAAGGAGTATACATACAGTTGACAGTTGGTATATGTGACTTTCAACTCCCCCTAATAGAATAAGTCAATTCTGCAGAGATACAATGCGCGGCGAGGAGACAAACCTGGTTGAGGGAAGAAGAAGTCACAAACCATACTGCGCAAATCATTGTCAGCTTCATCTCTTCGCGATGAGTATGGGATAAACTAACGCAATGTTGTAGGGCATACTGGCTGCTCCGCCCGTCTAGCTGGTATCCAGACAATTCCGAGAGGTATCGGCTGTCACCCTACCCATGGCGAGCAGATCCGTCCTTCGATAAAACGGTACACATACGGATATACCAGTATACAGCGAACAATATGCGACCAGACGAATGTGATCTCGAAATGAAGCTTTGGACCTGGTTGATCCCTGAGGCCCACTCCCTGGCGGCATATGGGGCGGTGTAGGAATTCTGCCGGGTATGCAACAAAAATATCCCCGCGGAAAGAATTCATGTTCGAGAAGGATCTCACGAAGCATTAGAGCCTTTAGCAACCACAGCAACCGGCAATTCTGTCAGCTCTTATTGGATCATGGCTGGCGACAAATCTGCGCATCATGCGTCAGTGAAAAAAGATTCAGCCACCCCACTGAGCGCGAAGAAGTCTCACAAAAGGAAGAGAGAATCGGATGGCTCCCCCATTGCTACATCGACACCAACACCTACCAAGAAAGCGAAAAAGACTCAGAACCTTTCGCCAACCGCCGTCGGTTCAAAACAAAAGCCAAGAAAAGAAAAGCGGAACAAATACTCGGAAGAGGACGGTGTTCGCGAGGAAAAGACCAGGAAAGATAGTGCTGTCTCGCCGGTCGGCAGCAAAGCGAATGCTAGGAGCTCAGATGATAAAGTCTCCAAGTCTAAGAAGAAATCAAAAGGCGAAAAAAGACGGGCTTCTGAATCTAATGAGGGGTCTGCACATATGAAGGGATCGCAGGGCGACTCGGACGACAGCTCGGAAAGGAAAGAGGACAAGGCCGGCAAAGCGTTGAAATCCACCAAAAATTCTAAAGATGAGAGCGGCACAAATTCTGCGAAGAACAAGTTTTCCGGCATTCTGTCCAAGTTCGAAAGATCCGCCAAGTTGAAGGAGGCAGCCAAGGCGAAGAATGACAGTACCGATAACGGGGCACTCACTGGACCACTTACCGCAGAACCCGTCGTTGCACAGGGCTTAGAGCCTCTTCCACAACCTGAACAAATTACAGAAGAAACTGAGAAACCAAGCTATTCGTCTCTCCCTGCATGGCTGGCCAATCCCGTCAGAGAGTCGGCAAGCAAGCGCGCCAGGTTTTCGGAATTAGGGATCGACTCAAATCTGCTTCGTGTGCTCGAAGATCATGGATACAAGGAAGCTTTTGCAGTACAATCTACGGTTATTCCACTTCTTCTTCAAGGCCCCAGGAGACACCCTGGTGATCTTTGTATATCAGCCGCTACAGGTTCGGGCAAGACTTTGTCGTATGTACTGCCTTTGGTCACTGCGCTGAAACCGACACCGGCACCCAGAATGAGAGGTCTTATTGTAGTGCCCACAAGAGAGTTGGTGAAACAGGCCAGAGAAGCCTGCGAGCTATGCGCTACTGGTTCTGGACTTCGTATCGGTTCTGCGGTGGGAAATGTGGCGATCAAGGACGAACAGCGCACATTGATGCGTGTTGACCAATGCTATGGACCTGAACTTTCCAAGCAAAGGCAGACTGTCGATCTCACTGGGGAAGATTGGACGAATTTTAATCTCATGAACTACCTTGCAGAGACAAGTGACTTGAGCGAGTCCTTGCCAGGCTATGTTCAGAGGGCGGAGCCGAACATTGATATCTTGATCTGTACTCCGGGTCGTCTCGTTGACCATCTCCGTTACACCAAGGGTTTCACTTTGGAGCATCTTGAATGGCTGGTCATTGATGAAGCAGATCGACTTCTGAACGAGAGCTTTCAGGAATGGGTTGATGTTGTGATGAACTCCCTGGATGCCCGCAAGGATCCCAAGACCTTCGGCTCCAGCGGTAAATTTATGGCTCAGCTGGGGCTTCCAATTCAAAGCAGAGAACCCCGGAAGGTCATTCTCAGTGCCACAATGACGAGGGATATCTCCAAGTTGAATTCTCTCCGACTGGCAAATCCGAAGCTGGTGATCATTGGTTCAGCAGAGCCTACTGCAACCGAAGAAGCGGAGCACGATGGCGTCCCTACAACGTCTGATGAACAATTCACTCTGCCCTCTACCTTGAAAGAGTACTCGGTATCTGTTGGCGATGGTTCGCAAAAGCCGCTTTACCTCCTTCAGCTGTTACAGTCTCATATCAACCTGGACACACCAAATCAACGCTCTGTCGCATGTTTCTCGAGATCTTCAGACACAGAAGAGTCAAGTTCAGACGATACGAGCTCCGACGGGTCGGATCCTGAGGACTCGGACTCCAGTGATACCAACTCGGACGACACGAGCTCCGACGAGTCCAGCTCAGATGAATCGGATTCAGACTCCTCAGAAGACGGTAGCTCATCAAGCGACGGATCAGACTCGTCGTCTGACGTATCCGTATTATCTGAAAGCGACGAAAAGGAAAAGAATATTTCTCATCGTGGACCTGCAAGGTCGACAGTTCTCATTTTCACCAAGTCATCTGAATCCGCATCACGTCTTTCTCGCCTGATTTCACTTCTCGACCCGTCGCTTGCGAACCACATCGGCACGATTATCAAGTCCAATAAATCATCAGCCTCTCGGAAAACACTCACTGCCTACCGACGAGGCAAGATCTCCATTATCGTTGCTACTGACCGTGCCTCTCGTGGTCTCGATCTAGAATCGTTGACTCACGTCGTCAATTACGATGTTCCTCCCAGCGTTACGACATACGTGCATCGTGTTGGACGTACAGCAAGAGCAGGCAAGGAGGGCTCGGCCTGGACGCTTGTTGCACATCGTGAGGGTCACTGGTTTGTCAACGAGATTTCTAAGGGCTCGGACGGCAAGATTACACGATCCACCAAGGTTGAGAGGGTGAATGTGAAGCTGGACACCTCGGCCGAGATCAAGTCGAGATACGCGGCTGCATTGGACACCCTTGAGAAGGAGATAAAAACGGGTGGTAGTAAACCTACAAAGCCCCAAGCTTAAACGCATTTGAGACGTAAGGCACATGTAAATAGCTAATTAAAAAGAGCTGCACCCGATTTTCAATCAGAAACCTTTCATACTTGCTCGACCTGGGATTGAACAACTTTGCAAGACCGACTAACTATCCCAGAATCATTAGGTACTGGAGAGGACTAGCTCCCATCATGACTTGCCTATCATTAGACAGCAAAGAAAACCCGACTTAGTGCTTCTTCCCTTGCTTCCCCCGCAAATGTGGTGAAAAGAAAAATGTCGCCCAAGAAACTCCGTGTCCGCTTCCTCTTTGGCCGTTTAGCGCATCCCCCAGAAGAGAACCATGCGCGTAGATATTCTAAAGACTTGCTGTGACTACATTTGTTGCAGTATGCCCTTTCTGCGTTGCTTTTCCCAAGCTCATTCCCACCTCAACATCCACCATGATCTGCTGATGGCTCAACTTCTCCAGATCCTCGTCGAATCGAATCCGGTCTCTCTCAAAAGCCACTAGAATACTTGAGCCGCCAAATTGGAAAAGCCCGATTTCATCGCCTTTCTTCACATGGTGTCCCGCAGTCATCATTTCCTCATTGAATCTGCATACCGTGTCAGTTGTGCCATTTGACTTGCCTTGGCAGACGAAATACTCACTCTACGGTTCCGACATCAGTAGCACCGATAGCCACGAAAAGGACAAGCCCAAAATCCTCAGTCTCGATGCACACACAGCACCGCGCATTCTCCGTCAGGATGTTGACCGAACTCTGCAGCGCCACGGGATCAACCTGGAAGTAATCTCCAGGAATCTGCTTATACCACTTCACCTTGCCCTCGACAGGAGAATGGTACCGATGGTAATCCTGGGGACTCAGACGGAAGCTCGCCACGGCGCCGTTCTCCCACGCCTTTGCGCGGTCCTTGTCTTTGATGAGATTGGCAATGGTGAACTCGGAACCCTTGATCCAGAGCCTGCGAGTAGCTTCGACAGTTGAATAGACGACGACTCGTGAGTCGGCAACGACAATGGCTTTTGTGGGGTCGTTCGGTGCATGGATTGGTCGTGCGCCGGGGGCGTGTTTCCGCACGAAGAAGTCCTCGAATGTCACATATTTCTCCGGATCGGACGGGTCGAACTTCGACATGTCGATTTGGTAGAAGTCGATGAAGGTTTTGATTTGTCTGTGGGACTGGGGTTCCCCTTCTTTGCGCCCTTGAATACAGTCAGTGGTCGTAGACCTTATTCTTGAAGGATGATAACGAACCTGCAGCGAGGTTCTTCTCATGCGTATACATTCGGATGAGATGAGTCTGATCAATCCATTCTGTCAAGGGGTTAAAGAGTAGCAGCAGCTTGAACTTCTTCCATAATGCTTGCTTCTCGCGCTTGTATTCGCCGGTCTTGCGGTCGACTGTCAGCCATCCCACTTCGCGATTCTGGATGAGCTTGGTGAAGGCAAACGCCTGGTCCACCAGCTGGTGGATATAATCGAAGATGCCAGACATTGGAACGTCCTTCTTGTAGAATGAGAGTTAGATGTTCTCATTTGAGCTGTTTTGATGACGCGCATAACTCTTTGATATCTACCTCTCTACCAAAATTGTCTTGCTGTGTTTGGAGTGATGTCATCGCTATGTCAGATTGCCTTCAGCCAGTTGATGATGGTGTTATTCCTCCGGTACCACGTGATATCACTGCACCTTGACAGTTCTAAAATCGAGGCATCCATGGGTCCTTTGATCTGGCTCATGATGTCCATACAATGTCAAACAAGCCATAGATTACAATATCCAGCTTCATCACCCACTACTGTATTACTCACACTTTACCCCCATGTCATACTAATCCAGAAGCAGTAAAGCGTTGGCGGATAAGGCCAGAACTCAGAAGCTTAGTTGCATCGTCCCCCTACCATGATGATCCATTACCTCTATGGCAATGATGGGCCTTTCCTGTTGCTCTTTGGAAGCTACCGCTTTCTACAGCCTCCAGTTATCGGCTAAATAGACTACCTGCGGAGAGGGTCAGTCAGTTGGTGAATCTCCTTGGCTGTCGTAGCTCGATAGCTGTAGTATTTGCTGTGGGTCAACTCGAACGAGACAGTGATGATAATCATGCCATTGTGGTTGCATTAATAATGCTCGGTCTCCGTCTCTGGCTTCTCAGCCTGAAAGCTCGAGCTGGAACTTGAGCTTTGCCGTCTGCTGCACCCGGGGAGTTTCCCTGCGTTGGCGATAAGATGTGGTCTGCAGTATGTAAGGCCTCGACTCCGGGGTCTGCTGAATATCACAGGACAGCTTGACGCACTGTACTTGCTTATTCAGAGATAAATGCTGATTTGAGCATTTACGATCACACAATTGCTCCCCGCACTTGATTTTGTCTCAGTGCTCTCTAGGCAATCAGTCCACTCGTCTCATTGAACAGTTCCATAGGAACAAAGCGAGAATGGCACGCAGTCCGGGAGACACAATTGACATCATCATTCAGGTTTAAAGTCAATTCAGCCTAGATTGTGAGTGTGAATCGGTCAACTTGTTCTTCGTTCTCTCATGTCGGACAGTCGGAGAATCCCCCGTGCTCCGCTCTCTGCTCAGGATCGGCTGTGGGACCTGCTGGATTCGGGCATCCGCATGTGGGGGAAGTCGGGGAAACAAGTCCAGACGTTAGGGACTCCTCCTCCACAGCTTAGATGGAGTACAGATGCCGACTAGGTAGGAGGACATACAGAATCCTTTCTGCCGGTGTTGCCGAAGCCTACTATAAATTCAGCAGTTCATCTGCCGACTCCATAATGCAGGAGATCAACTTCCAAGTCTCGTGGATGCTCGCAACATGTCGGCTGCCAAATCTACTGCTGCCGTGCTGGTAGCTCTGTTGCCTTGTGCGCTCGCTCAGGCGAACACAAGCTACGTTGATCACAATGTGGAGGCGAATCCTGATCTCACCCCTCAGACGGTCGCTAAGATTGACCTGTCCTTTTCCGACTGCGAGAATGGACCGCTCAGCAAGACTCTAGTTTGCAACACGTCTGCTAGGCCGCATGATAATGTTTCTATGACTCATGACTCTCCTTCCCTTCTGCGTCCTGTATCTAACCCTCCATAATTGAGATCAACCGAATATCATTAAAATAACCGATTCCACTCAAATAAGCAGCAGTACCTACCATAATCGACTCAGTTCATCGGTTCCGTTGGTTCCATCGTTTGAAGTAGCAGTACCAGTCATGAGAGCCACCAGACCACCTTCCTCGTGCAGCAAGCATGATATCATATGACAATCATTAGGCAGGAGTCAATTGACCTCACCGTACTTCTGACCCTACCTTAACACCTCTACACCTCTCACTTAATACCAACTGACCTTATCATCAGTTTCAAGTGGCTGAACACACCCTAAACATTACTATTCCACTCTCTTTTCTTCACTGTTGTCTTTTTATGTTGGACGCTTCACAGACCATGGAGCAAGGCGGGAAACACCAACTTCTGTCGCCTCCCAAGCTCTCGAATGGAAACTCGCAACATCTACAACCTGAGCTCTCAAAGTCACCCGGGTCCTCCAAGTTCCCTAGTCCGTTGAGTCCGCCGCCTCGTTGGCCTGCTCGCCAGTTCGCCAGATGTGTTTCGAGATCCCCAGTCACCCCCGAAGCTTGTCGGGCGATTCTGTCATCTTTCGAATTTGAGAAGTCATACGACGAACAGTCGGAGATGGCTATACTCAAGCTGGAGAAGTGGTTGGGATATGAACGCTGGCCGTGGCTTGATGATTTTGATCGGCGGAGAACTATCTGTGACAAAGTCTCATTGATCCTGGACAAATTCCTCTGGTCTCATCGGTTTGTTTTCTATTCCTACCCTATCGTTGCACAAGTCCTTTACTGATGTCTAAAGCTATTATTGGTTGACAGAAACCGTCGTCGACGGCAAATTCCGGCTGCTCATTTCTCCTAAGGAAGGAATCGAGCCCTTGCCCTTGCCAGAGTGGCTGTCCACCCCTTATATTGTACGCGTACCCCATCAAGACTTCACGTACAAACCGGAAACTGGCAAGGAAATATGCAAAAATCCGACCATCACCAGTGGCCATCCAATCTTAGATTCGGATCAAAGAAGGGTTGGTGCCTTCATGTCATGACCGCGGATGCCTGGAATATCTCATACAAAGCCGCTGTAGAAGGTATTGTCCTACTGAAGAACGACGGAACCTTGCCTCTCGCCAAGTCGGTCCGCAGTGTTGCATTGATCGGCCCCTGGATGATGGGCGGCGGCCAAGTCGACTCCTCCTCGCTCAAGTCCAACAAGAATGTCAACTCCCTGATCTGGGGTGGATACCCCGGACAATCCGGCGGACAGGCTCTCCTAGACAATCATTACCGGCAAGCGCGCCCCCGCAGGCCGACTCGTGGTCACCCAGTACCCGGCCGAATACGCAACCCAATTCCCAGCCACCGACATGAACCTGCGGCCTCTCGGCAATAATCCCGGCCAGACCTACATGTGGTACACCGGCACACCCGTCTACGAGTTCGGCCACGGGCTCTTCTACACGACCTTCAGCGCCTCCCTCACTGGCACAGGCAAGAACAAGACCTCCTTCAACATCCAAGACCTCCTCACGCAGCCGCATCCGGGCTTCGCAAACGTCGAGCAAATGCCTTTCCTCAACTTCACGGTGAAGATCGCCAACACCGGCAAGGTCGCTTCCGACTACACTGCTATGCTCTTCGCTAACACCACCGCGGGACCTGCTCCATACCCAAACAAGTGGCTTGTCGGTTTCGACCGGCTGTCGAGGCTGGGACCGCACAGTTCAAAGACTATGACGATCCCCGTGACGATCGACAGCGTGGCTCGTACGGATGAAGCCGGCAATCGGGTCCTCTACCCGGGGAAGTACGAGCTGGCGCTGAATAATGAGCGGTCGGTTGTCCTTCGGTTTGGGCTGACGGGCAGAGAGGCTGTGATTTTCAGGTGGCCTGTAGAGGAGCAGCAGATTTCCTCTGCATGATGGTCAGAATTGTGTTGGTAGTATTAAATAGGAGGAACTTGAATGATCTAGCTGTGTAAATATCAGAGTTGTGAGGTTAAGGCTTCATATCAAGCTTCGTGGCTTTTGTGGCTTGGTTGGCTGATACTCTTTTTGATTTTTAGCTTATTTTGAGAGTTTATATGCTTAGTTTGATACTAAACTATTCCTCCGACATCTCGTCTGAGAACTTAATTCCATGCATATATCTACTCTTTGATAACAATAGACATGGCCGAATACGGACTGCACCGGCAATAGAACAATTACTCCCTTACCATCTGAACTAATTCATCATACTCGCCTGTATTCTTCAACATACTCCAGAAAACGCCTTGCTTCTTAATCAGATTCGCGGGTGAATCATTTCTTTCCAAGTTAGCCTCTGTGAACAAACGCATGATAAACAAAAAAAGAAGAGGGATGATATACTCAATGATCTCGCCCTCAGCCATAACCAGTACCCGGTCATAATCCATGATTGTCCGCAGGCGATGCGCAATTGCGATGATCGTCGAGTCAGGGAACATACTCCGTAGCAGCTTCTGCATGTGCATGTCCGTCTCGTGGTCCACGGACGCAGTCGCCTCATCCAGCAGTACGACCTTGGAGCGGCGGCAGACTGCGCGCGCGATACTGAGGACCTGTCGCTGGCCCTGGCTGAAGTTTTCTCCGTTGGCTGCGATGGGGGTGTCGAGGGTGAGGGCGCGGGTTGTTGGTTTGTTGGTGCCTGCTTCTCCGATGGGGCCGCCGTGTACTTGGATAGAGGTGCAGGCGGATAGAGCAGAGTGCAGCTCCGTCTCGCTCGCTTCGCCGAATGGGTCGAGGTTTGATTGCACGTCGCCGGAGAAGAGGACGGGTTCTTGGGGGATGAGGGTGACGCTTGTGCGGAGGCGATGTAGGCGGATCTGGCTGATATCCAGACCGTCAATTGTGATGCTGCCGGAGGTAAGATTGACGAAACGGAGCAGGGAGAGGCCGAGGGTGCTCTTGCCGCTGCCTGTTCGGCCTACGATGCCGATTCGTTCGCCAGGATTGGCCACGAAGGAGACGTTTCGTAGGACGTCTGGACCTTCGGGCTGATAGCGGGCCGAGACGCTGTGAAATTCCACTTTCCCCAGTGTTGGCCAGCTGGCAGGTACGGTGTCCGCTTTGGCGCGCTCCTTGTCACTCAGTTTCTCTTCAGGCTCGATCTCCGCGTATTCGCTTATTCGCTGGAACGAGTTGAGTTCGACCTCGAGTTCGTTCATTGTGCGGACCAACGTCAGAATGGTCTGACTGAGGCCAATGGCGTTGGTCAATGAGAATCCAACGAGGCCCGCGGACCCCGACCAGAAATACGCTACGCATCCCGCCGATGCTGCGACCGATGCTGCGCATAAATCCGATCGGACGGAAACCCAACGGTTGCAGTTGTACTGGGCCTCTGCGGAACGAGCATGAACAGCAAGCTTTTCCGCTAACAGCTTCTGGAAAACCCCCGTCATGCCTTCTCGGGCTCGGATGACGGTCATGCCTGCCAGGGAATCGGTGAAATGGGAGAATATGGGAGAGTAGTTGATGGAACATAATCTCTTGATCGAAATCTGGGCCCGAGTGTACATCTCCCCAATGAAAAAGCCTATCGTGCAAACCACGGCGGCTGGGAGCGCAAAAATCGGCATGATCGAGGCGATACTCGCTATTCTCAGCAAGAAGCGTAGTCCATTTTCAATGGACATGCGCAGCCAATCAATCAAAACAGTATCCATTGACCTGGTGTCATTTCCAAAGCGGTTTATAGCACGTCCGATGGGATTCTGGTCGAACCAAGAGATCGGCGCAGAGAGCACTGCTTCCACCAGTTTCCTGTGCATCTTCTTGGCGGCCGTCCAGCTCCCATGTTGATATAGAAGATTATTCGTGATTTGAAGGAGGAGAAAGGATATTATCGCTGCTGCATACACGGCTAGGTAGAACAGTGAGTCAGGATGGTCGTATTTCTCATACGCGCTTGTCCAAATAGACAGCCAGTATGTGATTGCAAAGTATGCAAATTGCACCGTGACAGTTGCTAGCAGCACTGCTATTGCATAGGAGATTCCGCCAAACAGCAGCATATAATGTAAGACTGGAGAAACATTAGCATCGATGACTACGTTACTTAGCTGGTGCAAACTCACATAATGTACGTGGTACGCGACCTGTAGCCGACATTTCTTTGACAATGCGATCTGTCTGTACAGATTGGTCTGCGCGAACGTTGGGCAAGACATTGACGGTGGCTTCTGATTCGGTAGAAGACCCTTCTGCAATTGGTGGAGAACCGCTGATTGCTGCGTCTTGTTCTGCCCCTTCGGCGAGGTCGGGTACACTCTGTGTGTGCGCCCTGGAGGACTCAGACGCAGTTCTAATTACGGAAGTCCTGCCATGGTTGAGCTGAATAATTTGATCGGCGTCCTTCAGGGCAGCTGGCAGGTGCGTGACAAGTACAACGGTCCTGTCTGCTAACAGACCACTGCGGAAACACTTTTCATAAACCAAGGTGGTTGTATGTGTATCTAGTGCGGAAAATATGTCATCCAAGAGCAATGTAGATGATCTCGAATACAGTGCTCTGGCGAGAGAGACACGTTGCTTCTGACCACCTGACAGCGACGTGCCTCTCTCACCCACTAGAGTGAGATCACTAGCGGGAAGCTGCTGAAGATCCTGGATAAGACCGCTGGCTTCAATGACGGTATTGTAACGGGCCTCGTCAAACGAGCTGTAAAATAGTATGTTCTGTCGAATGGTGTCATTCTGCAGCCATGGCGACTGTGGTACATAGGCCACATCCTGAGAGCAGGTAGCAGTTCCAGACTCCAGTACAGTCTCACCTAACAATGACAGCAGCAGAGAAGTCTTCCCACTCCCAGTTGGGCCTGCCACGACATTGAGGGCGTTGTGCTTGAAAGAAACTGAGATGTCGTGTAAGCAGAAATCTGCGATTGGTGTTCGCCGGAAAGTTGCGTGTTTGAGCTCCAACGGTCCGTCTGGATGACGTCTGATCTCGCCTGCTGTGTCAAAAAAGTGATCCACTCGACGAAGCGACTCCGCACCCTGGGCCGAATATCTGCTGATATTTGAGAGCCAGACGAACTGAGAACGCAGTGTCTCCATGATTGACAAAGATGTGAAGGCAACCGGAGCCCGCAGAGGACGATCCGTAAATAAAACTACGACGGAGAACATGACAAGCAAGCTCATCATAGGTAATAGGTCACCTGCCATAGAAATGGCGGCCGCAAAGACACTGCGCCTCCAGAGACGTCGTTGCTCCACGCTTCTGATCTCATTGATCGAAGCCACAGCAGCTGGCTCCCATCCGAAGAACTTGAGGGTTCGGATAGAATTCAAGTACTCTGAAATCCTGGCAAGACGGACATCAGTTGCCCTCATCACTGACTGTTGGATGCGTGAGACCCTGCGCGATGCCAGAGCCGGAAGCGGAGTCAAACAGCACAGCGTCAGGACGCCGAATAAGGATGGCCACCCGAGCATCCTGTAGAGGAAGACCATGGCAATGGTAGTGGATATCGGTACCGCAGTGGCTACGTAAAAGATGTCCCGGGAATTGTATATAGCATCAACATCGGATGACATCAGACTTGTCACATTAGCTTGGTTAGATTTCGATGTGCGCTTCGGGGTATGTGCCTTGTGTCTCGCCGACTCCTGAGGGCGTGGTCTGCCATGTGGATGTACAGAATCATCGTAGATATACGATCGCATAGCGGTGTGATAAATCTCCTGGACAAGCGAGATATTCACGCGCACAAGGAGCCTTGTGGCTGTAAAGATGTACTGTTGATAGCAAAAAGACCGCATCATTGGACCAATGAATAGCAGACAAATCCAAAGCGCAGGATGCACGACTGCGCCAGTCGGGTCTTCCAAGTATGCCAGCAACCGCAGCATGGAAAATGGAGCGAAGAAATCTGCTATAGAAGTAGTCGCGGCCCAGCAAACCATACCTTTAATCTCCGTTTTCAACAGTCTGCACAAAGTTCGAAACGTTTTCCCGCCTTTTTGCCGCTGCTTCTTGATCTTCTCCAGCCACTTCAGTGGTTCGTCATATGAGGGAAGCGGCGGCAAGTCATCCATGGTCAGATCTCTCTGGCAGCCACGAAAGATCACATAAGTGATCCACTCATAGGAGCAATAGTATGAGAACAAAGAACACGTTTCCTCCGGCGAAACATCCGCCTTTGCCTGTGCATCATGGAATTCGGCATCTGAGATTAGGGGACGGGGCCGAGGACTCGCAAGCACAATTACCAGCATAGCAGCCACGCAGGCTAGTGAGGCACTTGCAAGAGCGGTTGGGCGATAGGTCGAGCCAACAATCGCCATTGGGACAAGATCCTTCACAATTGCTAGAGACAAAGCCACTAAGGTCATCATGTTCAAGTGGCGATAGAAATGAATCCCGTGAATAACACCCTGGAAACAAAGCCTCGCAACAGCCAATAATACAATGTAGCTGAAGAATATTAACTGTTTCCAGTCTCCTCTGCGATGTGATTCACCAAAACTGAGACCACAAGCTGCCATCGCAGCCGCCAGGTGCGCAAGTGCAAAGGGTACGGGGACAATTGTCTCTGGAATGGCAGAGGTAGCATCCATGCGGCCACGAGACTTCTTCTTGAAGACCCAAACAGCATGATTAAGACATTTTGATAGGATAATAGCGAGGCATGAAGCAGAGACCGCCCCGAGGTGCAGATTTCCAGTGGTTACGAAGGCGGACAGTTTCTGTGTCCGATATTGCCAGAGAGCTCTGGATTCTTGCATCAGTTTCAGGCAATTACTAGGAGGACATGAAAACTGGACAGACCTTTGCACTTGACCGCTGTCGTCAAAAGCAGAGATACCTTGGCCCACAAACTGCGATGTCATAGGAGCTATGATATACTGCGAAACCCCAGGCAAAAGCTCCATTGCGGACGACTGCGACACGG